CCTGGCTCTACACTCAGAAATTACTCCTGGCAGTGCTCAAGGGACCATACAAAATGCCAAGGATCAAACCGATATTGGCCTGTGCAAAGCTAGTGGCCTGTATACACACTCTACACTCTACACTCTCCAGTCCCCCCCAAAAAATTTTTAAAAGACATTTTTATGTGAACCCGAGTGATAATTAGATAAAATATACGAATCAAAGATTTTTCTTCACAGTTTTAATAACCTAGGGACTAGAGGATACAGCAATGATCTTCTGAAATGAAATGAAAGCAAATAAGGAGTAAGCCCTGAGTGCAGCTGAGGCGCTGCCCTCAAAAAAAAAAAAAATATCAGGCCGGAAAGACAGTGCACCCCTCAAAAAAAGTTTCTACCGGAGCCACTGAGGATAGCTCAATGGGCTGAGAGCATGTTTTGCATGCAGGAGACCCGGGTTCAACCCCCAGTATAAATCTCCAAGCACTGCTGAGCACAATCCCAAGATCTCCAGAGAACAGACACAGGTAGCTCCTGAGCACTAAGCACCACTGGGTAGAGGCCCTCTTCCCCCCCCCCACACACACACACAAAAAGCTATGGAAAATCTAAACTTAAAACCATTCATATCAATATTTCTACCCTATCCAAGAACACTCAGTCAATAAATATTATCCCTATTTTCTGGGGTTTTTTTTGGGGGGTGGGGGTTGCCTTTTGGGTCACGTCCGGCAATGCACAGAGGTTACTCCTGGCTCTTCACTCAGGAATTACTCCTGGCAGTGCTCAGGGGACCATATGGGATGCTGGGAATCGAACGCCGGTTGGCTGCGTGCAAGGCAAACGCCCTACCCGCTGTGCTATCACTCCAGCCCCTTATCCCTATTTCTAATGCCAGAACAAAGCTGCCAGGTTTAATTTTCCCATAAACTCCTGCAGAGAAATTTCCATATCTTGTGTGTGCTCTAGAAAGTGTTGCTAACCATGTGGGTACTTAGTCTTTACCCCTTAGAGAAGTAAACTCAGGAATTTCCCAAACCAACACAGGACAGAGTGAAAACAGGTATTTCCCAGTCCCTACACTATCTAGGTCTAAACACCCAGACTATATCCAATAGAAGCAATCCAGCTTTACAGAAGATAATTCAGTTCCACCCCTTCTACCCCCAATCTACAGGACCTGCCTATGTACACAAATAATATAAATGAAGAGGCTTAAATAAACACAACTATCTCAAGGTTCCCTTTCAATTTTTTTTTTACAAGAAGAAATGTATCTGCACAATCAGGAGAAACCAATTCCAAAGTGACAGAAGTATGGGAAACTGACTGAAAATCACTTTTTTCCTGACATCTCCCAGAATGAAAAGTCACTGTAGAAGTCTCTTCTCAATGAGCAGGAGACTCTTGTAATTTAATACTGTCTGTCTCCTGCTCAAGCCCTGAACTTCCTCAAGCATCGAAATGTCATTCATATCTTCAATTTCTTTCCTGGTGAACCATACAAGTCTCATGAATACAACCTAAATATAAAATAAAAATTACAAGACTTCCATAATCTTCTGAAAGACCAGAAGGTAACTATAACTTTGATAAGTACATTGAGAGACCACAGCAATAGTACAGCAGATAGGGTGCTTGCCTTGCATGTGGCTGACTCGGGTTTGATTCCTGGTACCCCATATGGTCCCTAGCCCCTCCAGGAGTAACCCCTGAGAGCAGAGCCCTGAGCACCGCCAGGTATGGACCAAATACAAAAAGGAAAAGAAAAGAAAATTGACCTTCAGTTAGTTTAGTAATTTTTAATGGGCTGTTGTTGTCGTTGTTGTTGTTGTTGTTGAGGGAGTCACACATAGCTGTGCTCAGGACTTACTCCTGGATCTGTGCTCAGGGATCATACCTGGAGGGACTTGGAAGACCATATGTGGTGCCTGAGATGAAACCAAGGTAGGTTCTGTGGCATGCAAGCATCTTACCCTCTATCTCTATAGTGGGGGAGAGGGGTGTTTGTTTTGGTTTGTGGGTCACAGCTAGCTGTGTTCAGAGCTTACTCCTGGCTCTATGCTCAGGGATCACTCCTGAGGATTCAGGGACCATACAGGGTCCTATAAACAGAACCTGAGTCAATGGGATTCAAGGGAAGTGCATTATCTCTTTTATTATTTCTTCAACCCCTAGTATAAGAAATTATGAAAATTTTTTAATAGAGGTAGTGAGATTAAAAAAGACTCAAATGGTTCAAGTTATTACATGGAATAAGTGCATATACTTATATTTCCTTATAAATTAGCAAAATAAAACATTCTTCCCCAAGATGTTTTTTCCATAATATGCCTTCGTTTACTCCAAGTTCATCCATTTGCTGGAGCGGGCCCAGTAACGTCTCCATTTTTTTTTTTTGAGACTTGTTGTTACTGTGTTTGGCATATTGAGTATGTCACAGGTAGCTTGCCAGGCTTTGCCGTGCGGGCGAGATACTCTCGGTAGCTTGCCGGGTTCTCCGAGAGGTGCAGAGGAATTGAACTCGGCTCGGCCGGGCTGGCTGCGCGCAAGGCAAATGCCCTACCACTGTACTATCCCTCCAGTTATAGCCTAAATAATAAGCTCACTAGGTCTCCTGACTAACATCTCTCCGTGCAACCTGGTTACAGCATAAATGACAATCTCCACTAAGTGTCTAACCACTCCCACCTCAACATCAACTCCAGGCCAAAGTGACAATACAGCAGGGTGCCTGTTTCATATAAGGCCAACTCAGATTCGATCCCCAGCATCCCACATGGTTTTCCAACTCTGCCAGGAGTGACTAATGAGTGCAGAACCAGAAGTCAACCCTCAACACTACCAGGTGTGGCCCAGGGGGAGGAAAAAAAGGTTCTACTTTTCTAATTCATATTCTGGTCAATGAGATTCCCATTCACTTAATCTATCAAACTAGAAATCTTAGCCCAAATAGTCACTAAGTCATGTTGTATCTATCTCAGAAATATTTCTAAAATCCATTCTCCTCCTCATTCCCATTGTCACATTTTATTGACACTCTCAGTCAACTGCAACAACTTTAATTAGTCGGCCACATATCTCATTACTTTCATCTGTAGTTCTGTCACTCCCTAACATACACACACACACACAAAATCTCCAGTAGCTTCCCACTCTTTTCAGTCTCACCTCCTTGCAATTTTCCCATTACATAGCCATCCTGTACTGTACAAGTTACTGACACTAGAATATCATGTTTGTTTTTTTTCCTGGCAACACCTGGTTGTGCTCAGGGCTTACTCCTGGCTCTATCCTCAGGGATCACTCTGGTGGGCACAGGTGACCACAAGGGATGCCAAGAATGGAATCTGGGTCAGCCTCATGCAAGACAAGCACCCTACCCACTGTACTATGATGGCTCTACCTCCTCATCATATTGTTTTCTTCCTCACAGTCTCACGGTGCCTTTGCGATTGCATGCTGCAAGAACCAAATAGAACAAACGCCTTTCCTTACCCACTTTTCCTTCCCCATGCAAGCTCCTCCTCATTCTTCAACATGTACTCAATTATCTTGCCGGGATGAAGCTTCCCCTGCTCCTAACCAATGCCAAAGCCCCCTTTGCGCAGCAAAACTGCTTCATTTGTAACACTCAGCACCACAATCTTCAAATGAAAATCTCTAATGTCCTTGAAGAAAGATACTAATTTTTCTGAAGTCCTTGGGGAAAGATACTGGGTGCCAGACATATATACTTAAGTGCTCACTAAATGACTATTCAGCCTTCCTTATCCTGGATAAATCTGTTTTGTGGCTATTTCCTCAACTCCTGGGGCGAGGCAAGCACAAGTGAGTGCGAGTGTGCAACGCAGGCAGTGGACTGAGAGATGCCCAGCACTCCTGCCCTTCCAGCGATCACTCCCCCCAGCCCCAACTTGACTACTTTCTCGAAACGTTATGAAATCCTGAACTTGGCGCAAGGTGCAGTTCTAACTTTCCTAATCAAAGCTGAGTTGTCCAGGCTTTTCAACTTCTTTGACAAATGCTGTGGATCAGTCACGGCCAGAGCACCGATGAAAAAGCCTGAACACCTCCGTGTTACGTGAAGAGTGGGAAATCTTCACTCACTCGCCTTTTCCCTAACAGGTAGCCACCTTTTCCCTAGCCTGATCCATCATCGACACCCCGAAAGGCGTCACACGGGCGGGCGTCCCGTGCCGATTTCCGCGCACACTGACCCATTCAAAGGTCGGCACCCCCAAAAGCCACCCCCAGCTGACGCGTGCGCCCCAGACCGGCTCCTCCTCCCGGTGTGCAGAGTGACAGAGCTCGGGCAGAGCAAAAGCCACAGATTCAACTGAGCCCCAAACTTTTCCTGGAGCGGCAGCACTGGGCAGGGTCTGCAGATCCAGAAACAACACGCACACTTGGGGGGGCTGACCCTGGGGGTCGCGGGGAGGGAAAAAACTTTGGAGCGCTCTCCTCGCCGCCCCACGCCCCCACCCTATACCCCAGTTACGGAGCCAGTTCCTTCTGGTTCCGTGCGGAACCAGGTTGGGGTCCCAGACGCGCAGCACGCCGCCCCGAGAAGCCCGCGAGCCGCAGCCCAGCGTCGGGGACCGAACCGGGGCGGAACGGGCGCCCTTCCGGGACCGAGCCGCAGGCCGCCAGCCCCTTCTCCAGGGTTTAGCCCCGGGGACAGCCACCGGGAAGAACCACCCGGAAGGGGGGAGGCGGGGCGGGTCACCCCAGAGTGGGGTCAAAGGTCGGCGCTCCGAGGCGGGGGGCCGGGGAGGGGGGGCTCGGCCGGCACCGGTGGGCGGCCCGAGGGTCCCACCCGCTCCTCGGCCCGCTCGGCCGCCCCCGGCGCAGCCTCCCCGCCGCGCGCGGCCTCGGCGGCCCCCTCAGCCCCCTCCCCGGCGCCCCCTCAGCCGGCGCAGGCCCCGCCCCCAGAGCCGCCTCAGGAGCCGGGGCCTAGTGGTGACAGGAGCCGCCGGGGCCCGCCAGGTGCGGAGACCCGCCGGGGCAGCGCCGCTTACCCAGGCTCGGGCTCCTCCTCCACCTGCCGCGCCTCTCGCTCCGGGGCCTCTCGCTCGCGTCGCCCCCGCCGCCGCCGCTTCAGGATCCCGGACGCGCGCCCGAGCTCTCCCCCCGCCCCCCCACGGCGCGACCCCTTCCCCGCCCGCCGTGCCCGGCCGGGTCCTAAAGCCCGCCCGCGTGAGGGCTGCGCGTCCACACGCCTGCTTCCTGAAGCGGACTCGGACCGCGATTCCCGGCGAGCATCGCAAAGACTACAACTCCCGAAATGCACCGCGGGGGCGGGGAGAGAGAGGGGAAAAAAAAGGTGCCGCCGCCGAGGAACGCTCCCTCGTGAGGGTCCTGCTGGGAGCGTTTGCGGTTGTTTGGTTTTTGTTTTTTCCTAAGTGGTAGCGGACTTTTTGAACGGGGCAGCACCACCTCCAGGAATCGATGTTTTCTCTAGAAACGTTAGAAAAGTATGGAAGGATTGTATCTTGCAACGTTTGCGAGTGAACGATTGGAAATAAGTTCATTCAGCAACTGGGTATTATGTCAAGGAACCATGTACGGCTGCGTGTTGACTGGGCCAGGATTCTGTCTGAATCTTGGTTTTCTTATCTGAAAAATGGAGTGGTTTAAAAAGATTGTGACGGGGGTGCGGAGAGATAGACCCGAGGTGAAGGCGCTTGCCTTGCACGTAACCGCCCCGGAGCACGGCCAGGCGTACTTCCTGAGTGCAGAGCCACGAGTAAGTCCCGAGAGAGAACTGCCGGGTGTGGCCCGAACACCAGAGCAAGAGAAGCTTCCCACCCAACTGAAAGAAACCTTTTCTTGCCTGATTCCCGTTTAATAAACCTTTACTGAGCACTGCGCTCAGATTGCCTGTGGTTGAAAACCCACTTCATCTACCCACTTGCAGGCAGTGTGAGTTTGGTCCATTTAGCGTGCATGCGTGCGTGTGTGTGTGTGTGTGTGTGTGTGTGTGTGTGTGTGTGCTCGCTCGCTTCTTTTTCCTTATCTGAGACAGGAAGTAGGAGAGGCGGCAGTTTCCCAGCGTCACTGCTATGGAAAATACTCTGTGTCCTGTTAAAACTGTCATCTCCGTGAGGTTGAAGTTTTGTTTTGTCCAGGGCTGTCCACCACTCAGAGCCTGGTACTTAGTAGGTGCTCAATAAGTACTTCCCGGATCCCTGAATAATAAATTGGGTGTGAGAGAGCGAGGGCAGAAAGCCAGCGGAAAGGGCCGCTCTCCACTTAGCGCTCAGTGGGGCTGGGGTCGCGATCCCTGAGTCAGAGCCTGGGGCGTTCCGCGCCTTCCCAGCGCGGGTCTGCAACGCCCACGAGCGTGCAGGCTCCGAGCGTGCCCCCGAGGGTCCGGGAGGCCCCTCCCGCGGCTCCTCCCGGCGGGGCGTGAACTGCCGCAGCCCGGAGCGCTGGGGTGGGCGGGGCCGAGTGGGTTCTCTGACCCGGCCTCGGTCCACCTCATCGCCGCGGGACGGAAGTCTCCGGCGCGCCGCCTGCCCGCCCGCCCCTCCCGGGAGCGCCCGCCCGAGAACCCCGAGCACCGCGCCGAGCCCCCGCGGGCCGCCCGGGTCCCGGCGAGCGGCAGCGCTATGAAGCGAGCGTGCGCGCTGCGGCTGCTCTCGGACCTGAGCAACTTCAGCGGCGCCGCCCGGCTCCGGGAGCTGCTGGCCGGGGACTCGGCCGTGCGTGCCCGCTGCAGCCCGGACGGCCGCCACCTGCTGCTGCTGCGCCCCCCGGGGGCGCCAGCTCCGCAGCTGCTGGTCGCGGTGCGCGGGCCGGGTGCGGAGCTGGAGCGAGCCTGGCCCCCAGAGCACCCGTCACCGCTGGACGCCGTCTTCCTGCCCTGGCCGCTGCGTCCCGCGCTGGTCCTGGTCTGGGAGAGTGGCCTGGTCGAGGTGTGGAGCACGGGCCTGGGACCCGGCTGGAGGCTGCTGCAGAGCCTTGAGCTGTGCCCGGGCGGTGGCGCCCGCGTGGTGGCCTTCGCGGCGACCCGAGGCCGCCTGGTTTGGTGCGAGGAGCGTCAGGCCGAGAGTTCGGGTGCTTTCAGCCACTGCGTGTGCACCAGAACCCTGGAACCCAGTGGGGAGGCCAGTGCTAACCTGGGCCTCACACACACCCTGCTGCACCGTTGCCCGCCTTTTGCCCTGCTGGCCACCCGCAAGGACCTCTACCTGATGCCCACTGATACCACCTGGCCTGGTCTGGCTCACGTTCTGCTCATCTGGAACCCTAGCAAGGGCAAGGTGCTGGTAGCTTCCACGTGCCTTGGCCTCTCCCACAGTAAGAGCCTGAATCCCAAACGAGGGGACACCTGGGACTTCCCCACCCTGCTTGGAGGCCTTCCTGGACTGCTGACCCCCAGGGAGCCAGTGACTGTGCATTCCTGGGCCCCAGCTGCCCAGGGCCTGCTGTTGCTTGATGTCAAGGGTACCGTGACCCTGGTGCAACCCCACGGTGGTGTCCGGGCGGTGGGTACCCTGCAGGAGGCTCCTGCAGGCATGGCAGGGTCTGCAGCCCTGGGAACATTTCATGGCACTCTGGTCTGTGTGTTGGGCGCCACCATGGAGCTGCTGGACATGGGCAGTGGGCAGCTCCTGGAGAGGAAGGTCCTAAGTACAGACCGGGTACATTTGCTGGACCCCCCAGCCCCAGGCGTGGAGGAGGAGGAATTGCTGGGGAGTCGTGGGGGCCTTCGTTTGCTCTCAGCCCTGGGTCTGTTTGGAATAAGCTGGGAGGCCCCCCAGGGCCTTGCGCTTCCTGCAGCTGAAGATCTGGTGTTTGAGGCGGCCTGCGAGTACTACCAGCGGCGGAGCCTGCGCGGTGCCCGGCTCTCCCCAGAGGAACTAAGACACAGCAGCACATTCCGGGCACCCCAAGTCTTGGCCTCCATCCTCCAGGGCCACGTGTCCCCCTCTACGCTCTTGACCATGCTGAGAGCCGAGCTTCGGGATTACCGGGGCCTCGAGCGGCTCAAAGCCCAGTTAGTGACTGGAGAGGAGGAAGAGACGGGCTGGACGGAGCTGGCCGAGCAGGAAGTGGCCCGCCTGCTGAGGACCGAGTTGACGGGAGACCAGCTAGCCCAGCTCAACACCGTCTTCCAGACTTTTCCTACAGCGGCCTGGGGGGCCATCCTCAGGGCCCTGCAGCTCCAGCCCGATGGCAATGGCCGGCTGAAGTCCCAAGCTCCCCCCGACATGTGGAAGAAGGTACTAGCCAGTACAGCCGCTGGGAAGGAACCACCAGCAGGGGTCCTGCCTCTCTTTGAACTTCTGTGCCAGTACCTCTGCCACCTGGAGCCGCAGTCGCTGCCACCCTTTGTGGAACTGGCACAGCAGCAGGGGGGGCCGGGCTGGGGGGCAGGGGCCCCGGGGCTGCCGCTGTATCGAAGAGCCCTGGCAGTCCTAGGGGAAGAGGGGGCCAGGCCCGAGGCCCTGGAACTAGAGCTGCTCTTGGGCAGCGGGCGACCCAAAGCTGTGCTCCAGGCTGTCAGGCAACTGGTGCAGAAGGAAGAGTGGGAGCGGGCCCTGGAGGCCGGCCTGGCCCTCGGCCCCTCCAGTCCCCTGCTTCAGAGCGAGATCTTCAAACTACTGTTGGCAGAATTTGCCCAGCACCGACGGCTAGATGCCCACCTGCCCCTCCTGTGCCGCCTTTGCCCGTCAGACCTGGCTCCGGCTGAGCTCCTGCTTCTACTACAGACTCACCTGCCTGATGAGATGCGGCCCCCTATGCCATTCCCTGAGCCCGGGACGGACACCCCTCTCACCGTGGGCTTGCTCAGAACCCTGCTGGAGCAGACGGGGGCACCCGGGAGGCCTTCAGGTCCAGTTCTAAGTCTGTATGAAGACATTCTCTGGGACCTAGGCCCTCCGCCCCCCACCCCACCTCGGGGAGGACCTGTGACGGCACTCCAGGCGTCAGACCATCCCAGCCTAGAAGCCTAGAGGCCTGGACACCATCTGGACAGAACCTCTGTGCAATACACATAAGCTGAAAACCATCTCAAGGGCACAGTGACCGGGGAAGGGTGTCCAGGAGCTGGAAAGGCCCAAGATGGGCCCTGCATGTGCAATACTCTTCTGGAGCAGTTTTGAGGCATATATATATACATATATATATGTGATATTATGGCATAATAAATATATTTGGTCTTCAAATCTGTCCTGACTTAAAGCCGAATGTTCCCAAGAGGTGGGAATGCCTTTTGTGATTTTTTTCATAAAGAGTTCTTTAAGCCACAGAGTTAGCACTGGGATTCATTTGCAGACCTGGTTGGATTACTGTCCTACATGCAGTTTCCCCAAGCACTGCCAGGTGTGGCCCAAAAACCGCCCCCAAAAAAAGAACTCTTTAACATGTATACTAATGAGATGATTGGTAGGGCTTATCACCAAGGAATAGAGGGTTGGAACCTTTAAGTCCCGTCCCTGACTTGCTAGGCTACATAAGAAGCTTAGGAAAAACCCTCAATGATGTGATGAGCTGGAACTGGAGTAGGTAGGGTGTGGCTGACTGGGTTTGATCCTTGGCACCCTATTATGATTCTCCAAGCCCCACTAGGAGTGAGCCCTGAGCATCACCAAGTGTGGCCCCAAAACAATAATAACATGGGGGCTGGAGCAATAGCATAGCAGGTAGAGCATGCCTTGCATGCAGCGGATCCGGGTTCGATTCCCAGCATCCCATATGGTCCCTGAGCATCACCAAGGTGTAACCCAAAAAGCAAAATAATAATAATAACATGATGAGCTTCTGGCTTAGAGAAAGCATCAAAGGTGCTGAGGAGATAAACCCAGAAGACATGGAAGCCCCTGAACATGCCCCCTTCCCCTCCGCCATACCCTATTTATCTCTTTTAAGTCCTTTGTAATAGACCAGAAAAAGTATTTCCCTGAGTTCAGTGAGATTTTCTGCAAATAATCAAATCTGAAGCAGTAGTACAGCAGGAAAGGTGCTTGTCGTGCATGCCTACTCAGGTTCAATCACCAGCATCCCGTATGGTCCCCCAAACCCACCAGAAGTGATCCCTGAGTGCAGAGCCAGGAGTAAGCCCTGAGCACTGCTGGGTGTGGTCCAAAAATAAATATCTCTTTTAGGTCATAAGGAATAGAGACACTTCCATCATCTCTGAGCAGGGGGACAGCTTTTCAACTTGTCATGACCTCTGTTATTCTCAGCCTCAAGAGGTCTTGAGCTGACTTGTCCGTGTGATCAAAAGTCTGAGGCATCTGCTTAGTTGATTCAGACCTGGAGATGATTGAAAAAGAGGTCAGCTAGACTCAAAGGAAGAACCAGTCCACCTGTGTTGGGGATGGGGCTGTCTCTGAGGGCTGACTTGGAAGTTGGGGTTGGTTAGATGAAATAATAGACATAACTGCTACTTGCCAGGCTCCCAGGAACCCCAGGTCAGAGAGAAAATGAATAGGAGGGAGGAGTCAGTGACATTTTAGGGGAGTTTGGGTTTAAGCAGAGCCTAGTGGGAATTACAGAGTGAAGTAAAAGGACTGAAGGATTAATTCCCACTTTGAGTAGGACATTTGCTCTTTGGAACTGGTCAACATTGTACCAGACACATCAGCATTTGATTCACACTGACCTGCGAGATCAGGGGAAGAGTCAGTGTGGAAAGGGGTCAGCTTTAGACCCCCAACCCCATAGGTAGGCTCTGATGTAAGGCCCCTTACTAAACTGAAAAGAGAAAAATCCTGAGTGGCTCCCTGGGCCAGCCCGTCTCTTAGGCACAGGCTCCCCCTGGTGGTTATTCTTGTCACTGCCAGCTCCACGCATTACTCTGAGACCTGCACAGACCAAGGACAGAGGAAGCCTCTGGGGGTGATAAATTAAGAGGAACCGGAAGAGAAGGAAAAGAGAGCAGGGTAGAATTAAGGAAGTAAAATCCTAATTTTGGAGGAGGAGATAACTCTGGGTTTGTACAAGGCATGTGCTCTCTGGAAGAAAGGGTGCTTGAGCTACCAGGATTGGAACTCTGCCCCAGTTAGTAGCCTGACCTGGAAAAGTGGTAGGATTTTGGAGAAGTAGAAAGGACAGCAGGTATCCTGAAAAGCACAGTAATGTCGTATTTTATGTGAATTTGAAATATAGATACAAGGGGCTGGAAAAATAGTACTGCGTGTAAAGAACTTTCCCTTGCGTGCGGCTGATCCGGGTTCAACACCCAGCATCCAATACAGTTTCCTGAGCACTGCCAAAAGTAATTCAGGAGTGCAGAGCCAGGAGTAACCTCTGAGTGTGGCCCAAAAACCAAAAATAAAAAAAGGAAGAGAAAAGAGAAAGGAAGAAAAGAAAGAAAGAAAGAAAGGGAAAGAAAGAAAGAGAAAGAAAGAAAGAAAGGAAAAAGATGTCACTCTTATTCAAATCAGCTCTCTCAGGTACAGAGAGATAGTACAGAGGTTGAGGCATTTGCATCGTACACAGCCAATAGCAGTTCGACCCCAGCACCCCCATATGGGCCCTGAACCCTGCCAGGAGTGAATCCTGAGCACAGAACAGAAGTAAGCTATGAGTTTCAAAAGAAAAAGGGAGGGTCATGGGTGGAACTCAAGTGTTTGGTGGCTGAGAGCCGCCTCCCCCGGCGACAGATGAAGGATCGGGGGAATGAAGAAACTGGGCCCAGGCCCAAGCTGGTCAATAGACAGTTTATTTCTCTCTCCTCCCCAGAGTAGTCCAGTCTCTCCCCTTACGGTGCAGTCATAGCCGTCATTTTGGTCATAGTCCCAGTCATCATAAGTTCCATCATCCTAGTCTCCTCATAGACCTCAAAGTCCTCTACTTCCCATTATCATCATCATCTAGCCCTCCTTCTAGTCCCCATATTCTTGTTCTCAAGGTCGCAAAGGAACAAAGGCATGTGGGTCCCGGGCCTGAGATCTCCAAGCCTGCTCGGATCGGGGCTGAGCATCCTCCACCCCCAGATCCTCTACCTTCCGGTAGGCAGGGGTCACACCCACCAACTGGCCCCCTGGTGCCGTGTAATCCCATCAACGGCCAAGATCCAGAGACTATAAAACCCAGCTCCTGGAAGTGCACGGCCACAAATGCGGCCGCGCGACATCTTATCTCATTCTTACTTTGGACAAACCCGGCAGGCTACCAAATGTAACCTGCCCACACGGCAGAGTCTGGCAAACTCCCCATGGCGTACCCAATATGCCAAATACCAGTAACAATGATGGGTCTCATTCTCCTAAGCCTGAAAGAGCCTTGAATATGGCACTTTTTAAAAATCTCAGGGCTAGGATGAAGGAGACATTACTGGGGCCTGCTCGAGGCAATCGACAAACAACAGGATGGCCGTGATCGTGAAGGTTGCAAAGTCCCAGTTCTCATCCTTCCCTCTTTCCCCTTACAGCATACTTATATAGAAATCATGAAGGGTGGGGATACACATAGGTAGGGTTGAACATTGTCATAACAACAAACAGAGGTAAAGTCACTCCTACAGGGGAAGTTCTAGGAGATTAACTCAAGGACAAAATCTCATCTGAGGGTTCATCATTCCAGATTACTAGGAGATCCGCTCAAGGACAGGATTCCATCGAGGGTGTATTACTTTCTCCTTTCTAATCCTTATAATATTTCTAGTCATTTTGAATGAACACAGTAAGAAATATATTAAGCTTAAACGTTGGCTCTTCCTGGGGACATTTTGCTATGTATTCCAGACCACAGTCCTCAGGCCAGGTTAATATTTCCTAACCCCAGCAGGATCCTTATTCAGTTACTTCTTTTTGGGTCATGACAGAGTTTATCCCATGACCATGCTCTTAACTTATTATACTTATGGTACTTAGCTTGTTCCCTTTCAGTGGAAGGGTAACTTACAGCTTGCCATGGGTCCATCCAGTCCCTTCTCCAGGACTCTGCTTTAGGAGTGCTAGGAACTAAGGGCAGCTGAGGCTTATGTCAAGTAAATATGGATGCCCAGGAGTAAATATTATTTGGGAGTCAATTAACTCTCTTGTTACAAAACACAGCATGGGCTGCCTTCCTGTGTCTATACAAAAAGGGCATTGCTAAATAAACCATGCAAGTGACATAAAGGAAAGAGAAAGCAATATATTATTAGTGCTTGATGGAATTGGGTGTGCCTCAGGGGCACTATTGTTCAATAAACAGGTTCAATAAACCTTAAGCTCCCTGTGGGAGGAGCAAGGACAACCCAATGTTGTCCAACAATAAGCCTTGAGCATTGCCAGATACAACCCAAAATCCAAAAAATAAAATCAGGGGCTGGAGCAATAGCACAACAGGTAGGGCGTTTGCCTTGCACGCAGCTGCGGCCAACCCGGTTCAATTCCCAGCATCCCATATGGTCCCCCGAGCACCTGCAGGGGTAATTCCTGAGTGCAGAGCCAGGAGTAAGCCCTGTGCATTGCTGGGTGTGACCCATAAACAAAATAAACAAATAAAATAAAACCAGCAGTCTCATTTTATCACAAAGAGTGAACTAGAGGTAAAATTCCCCCAAATCAGACATTTTTCAACACACTCCACTCTGGAGCCACATGCATCCTATTTCAGTGTTTCATTTCTCTTCCTTATGGCTCTTCTCTCTCTCTCTCTCTCTCTCTCTCTCTCTCTCTCTCTCTCTCTCTCTCTCTCTCCCTCATTTTTTAATAATAAAACTTTGGGGCTGGAGAGATAGTACAGCCTGGAAGATGCTTGCCTTGCACAAGAGCAACTCAGGTTCAATCCCCAGCATCCCATATGGTTCTATGAGCACTGCCAGGAGTAATTTCTGAGCACAGAGCCAGAAGTAACTCCTGAGCATCACTGAGTGTGTCACCAAAAAACAAAATAAATACAACTTTACTTCAATAAAACGTTGTGTTTTTTTCCCCCGTGTGAATTACACTAATAGTACACATGACTTTCTATCCCTGCTGGAGAAATGGGGAGGGGACTGGCTCAGGCAGAGAGGTCAGGGCTGAGTGACCAGAGTCGCTTACTGGCT